TTTGCTGAGTAGAATGAACTATAAGTGACGATAAAAGTACAACAATAAGCATTTAATAAGTAACAGAAACAATGAAGAATTCTAGTGAGCTTCGTAGAGAAAACACATTAAATTGGTCGTGTAGGAGATGCTGACCTTCTGGAGGAGATAGGCATGGCTCCTGCCCTGCGGAGAATCTCCAACTGAACAGGGGTACATTGGACGCAGGTGATGCCCAGGGCTACCCGCCGGTTGTGGATCTCGTTGTAGCTAAACTCCTGCTTGAAGTACACACACACAAACACAAGTTATCAGTTGGCGGTGTCCAGAGAGAACAAGTGTAGTGAGTGTGGGGAAGGAGGGTGAGTGTGTGAGTGTGTGTGTGTGTGTGTGTGTGTGTGTGGTGTGTGTGTGTGTGTGTGTGTGTGTGTGTGTGTTGTGTGTGTGTGTGTAGTGTATGTGTGTATGTGTGTATGTGTGTGTGTGTGTGTGTGTATGTGTGTATGTGTGTGTGTGTGTGTGTGTGTGTGTGTGTATGTGTGTGTGCGTGTGCATGCCTGTACGTATTTGTATGTGTGTAAGAGACCGAAGTGAACAAAATGGAGATTCATGATCCACAAAAAATTAAAAAATGAAATGAGACGACTTTTCGGTCCATTATAGATCATTATCAACTCGTGCCTTAGTACTGGTCAGGTACGGACCGAAACGTCGTCTAGTTGCCCATTCCCAAAATAACAAAAAAAAGGCACAATACCGTGACTGGACCAATACACAAATAACCCGCACATAGGAGAGAGGAGCTTACCACGACGTTTCGGTCCGACTTGGGCCAGTGTGACTTTGTTAATGGTCAGTCAGACCGAAACGTCGTCGTAAGCTCCTCTCTCCTATGTGCGGGTTGTGTACCCATTCCCATTTACTTTATTTGTTTATTTCTGTTTAATGATAAATTTCCGTTGGGTTATTCATCGCACGGAACAGTGGAAGCTCGATCCTCTGTCTGATAAGCACTAACTGTACACACTTAGATCTATGCAATAAGATTAGTCCACTTAGCATCTACTTAAGTACTTGAAAAACGAAAATAATGAAAATGTGATGTATATTTGCTATTAAAAACCATTGTTTTTAACATATAGACAGAAAGTTGAAACAACTGTAAAAGTAATCTGTATATTTCAGACTCATTCAGAGTCCCTCTTCAGAAGATTTTCACTTCTTGTCGATCAGCATTTATGACATTTAAATTCAATCATATTAGTAATATAACATTTAGTTTATATACCTTTGATGAGTTTCGAGAGTCTTACTACTCTCGCCCGGCCATGGACCAGGCTCATGGTCTGTGAGAATAGGAGCAAATCAGGAAGGAGAAGACAGGTCCAATTGATGCATGTAAGGTTACTTGCATCAAGGAATATCCCGACAGAGAGAGAAAAGAGAGAGAGAGAGAGAGAGAGAGAGAGAGAAGAGAGAGATGAGAGAGGGAGAGAGAGAGAGAGAGAGAGAGAGAGAGAGAGAGAGAGAGAGAGGGGGGGGGGGAACTCAAAGAAGTCACACACTATTATTATCCGAGAGGAAGTACTGAACCCATGGGAGTCACGCAGCGAATGACTGGCAACAAGCTTTGATCCAAAACGGGGGATAATCCAAACATAGCAATACACAGTCAGCTGTACTCTCATCGAAGCTAAAAGTAACGACACTGGAACAACTTCTGAAGATTAGGTGGAGGAAGTCAACTCACTGAAGCCACAGTAACCTATTCTCAGGCGTCGTGTCTGTAGTTTTACCGGGGTTAACTTTTTTGTTTACGACTAGTTACCAGTAGGATGTGGTTCTCACCTTGAGTAGTGTATTGGAGATTTGTGCCAGGCATAGGCGCTCGATGTTGTCTATGTTGAGGGAGACTATGGGGACTCCATACAGCATCACCGTCCCCACCTGCAGCACACACAATATAATTATAACCTTAATTTTAAAAGGGGGTGGACCGGTAAGCTTCCTGAAGGCTTCGGTCAGATGACCAAAAACTCCAGAAGCGGGTCATCATATCACTAAGACCCACGTCAGGAAACACTTGTCATCTTCCTTGACCAATCTTAGGTAACCTGCAGGGCACACACATGCACACACTCGTTAATACTTCCAGGTGATGCGCTCGTTACTACCACTGGGAAATACATCCTCTAGCCCCCACCAGGTAATAGGCACTCGTTACCACAGCTAGATAATACATACCTTCGTACGCACCACCGGGTAAAACAAGCTATCGTTAGCACCACCGGGTAATATATGCCTTCGTTAGCACCGCCAGGAAATACAGACTTTCATTAGCATTTCAAGGCAATAAATACGCGAACTCAAGAGCGTCCTAGCTCTTGAGTTCGCGTCTTGACTGTATGCGTCCTGACTCTGATTTCTCCTCCTGACTCTTTGATTTCCCATCCTGACTCTTTGATTTCTCGTCCTAACTCTTTGATTTCTCGCCCTGAGTCTTTTATTTCGCGTCCTAACTCTTTGACTTTTCGTCCTGACTCTTCTATGGTGCTTCATCGATGCTGAAGAATACGAGAACGTTACTTTGTATATGCATAACATTACATGAATATGTACGCATGTAAGCCACAACAAGTGTGTGTGTGAGTGCGAGAACTGGAAATCAAAACTTTCTGTAATGCTCGGCCCAAAACAATCGCGACAAACGTTTATACCAAATTTTCGAACGCCGTAAATTCTGCCTTCATGTCTGCAGTTTGAGGGCACTGAACAACCGGTTTTAATTAATGGAGGGACTTAATTTGTATTTTCACGATCTAATTAAATCCAGAGGCAAATACAGAAAATTTAAGTTTGAGATTCATTATCATTTTCCTTTCAGGGATACAAAGACGTCTCGCCGGTGGTACTGAAGAAAGATACAGAGGCAGAACAAGATTTTATCGTCACAGTGTTTCGTCCTGCGTAGAGCTTTGTCTATTCAGTGATGAAGTTCTACTCCAGAGCGAAACGTTGTCACACTGTAAGATTGCTCGGTAACTGTGTATAAGTTGTATCATGTACTTGTATTATTATTATTATTATTATTATTATTATTATTATTATTATTATTATTATTATTATTATTATTATTATTATTATTATTTGTTTTTAAGAACATAAGACTTTATGTACACCCTGTTTATGTCAACCAGTTTATGTCACTTGGTGTATGTTACTTATTTCACGTCACATTACTGTTTCGCATCTTTTATTTTATTCTGTTTGGGGTGAAGATGGATGGCATTCAATTCTACTTCTTGTTTCTTAATGACTGCAGCTCCGGCGAATATCGTATCGTTTAATGTCTTCACGACCGCAGACCAATTACAGATTTATGACAAAAACAAAAATCAGGCGGAGACTAATTGGTGAGTCCAGCTTCCCGGCGACAAGTAATTAAATCGTTGTTGTGAAATCTTTCCCTGCTCGCCTGAAATCGATTTTTTTTTTTACATTAACGCCTTATGTTTTATTGAACGCGTCAAGCACTGAAATTCATATTGCAAAGAAATGAATATCTTTTTCTCCCCCCCCTGGTAGCTCACGTGATCTAAACAGTTGTTTAAACAAGAGATAACTACCATCCAGGAAGTGCATATTGGTCTTTCGAAAGTGGTACGTGAAAAAGGGCCTACTCTCTCAAAGTGTGAGCGAACTTTAAAATGCTGGAGCGCATTTGAGAATGCAGGAGGGTGAATATGATTGAACAAAGAGCAAGAGAGGGATGGTGTAGCAAGAGAACAAACACACTCACATAATACCCCACACTGCGCCTCAAGAACAAATCTTCACTAATTGGCACCCTTTGACCTGCCCGCCTTTGATGTAATCGCGCGGCAGATACAACTTCAGACGGCCGGGAAATCTGAATGTTTGCCCGACTCTCCTTACCGTTGCGCATGGTTGTAAACACTACCCCAGGGGGGCGCTTACGGTTTCCTGGTCCTCACGTAGAGTTCTTTACACTTTGCTCTGTTGAATCTCAGCTAGCATGGAAACATTTCGGCAGAATTTACGTTAGCCCAAAACTTCTCGCGCCTAACCCAAAGAGTTCAGCCACGGGTAAGATTTTTCTAAAGAAAAGATCTCTTAAGTGAATACAAGAGGCTGGGAGGTTGTGTGTAAGCACTGCGGCTCTCCAAACACGACTCCCTCACTCCACTCACTGCTGAAAGACTTCAGGATGAAGAAAGCTTAAAATTTTCATATATGTTTATAAATTTAGTCTGCTGAATATATATCATTTTGACAACTTTAGCTACAGCTATTGTGTGTTTATTGCTTTAGGATAGTTTTCTATTTTTTTTATTATAAAAGTTGAATTTGGAAGGTCTCAAAAAAACAGACAGTTTTATGACAGGACCCGATCTGAAGGTCGGGAATGTGATGTAAATAGTATTTTATCCACCTTATGGCTTTCACCTATTGTTGTAAACTGTTTCTGGTCTATTTTGCATCCCATGCTTCTTCACTCACCTGAAGAGGGTCTCCAGCTAGAGGGAAATTTTTTTTTCACAATTTCTTACTACAGTATTAATACGGTTAGCCAACTTCTCCGCGTCGGCAAAGTAAGAATTTCACTGTTTTATTCCATATTATTTGCGTGTAGGATCTCAATGTCTGGAATTCGTGATAAAATGTTCTATGAATGCTTTTATATTTAAGTTTAAAGAACTGTGTCATACTGGCACTGCGGCTCACGTACAGTGCCAGGATGTCAAGGGTGCCTGGTTTAGCAGTGCCAACCGTAACTAAGCAATACGTAGAAGCTAGTATAGTTTATGGTCATGTTTACTCGAATTTATACCAGGAGAATAGTTGCTTCCAGTAAGTTATATTAGTTGCCTGTTATACACGACATACCCAACATACTCACCTACATGACTGTTATACACGACATACCAAGTATACTCACCTACTTTGATTTGTTATACACGACATACCAATATCTCACCTACATACTGTTATAACGTACCTCAACATACTCACCTACATGACTGTTATACACGACATACCCAGCATACTCACCTACATGACTGTTATACACGACATACCAAGTATACTCACCTACATGACTGTTATACACGACATACCCAAACATTACTCACCGACTGACTGTTTATACACGACATACCCAACATCTCACCTACATGCCCTGATATACACGACATACCAAGTATACTCACCTACATATTTGTTATACACGACATACAAGTATACTCACCTACATGACTGTTATACACGACATACCCAACATACTCACCTACATGACTGTTATACACGACATACCCAACATACTCACCTACATGACTGTTATACACGACATTACCAAGCATACTCACCTACATGACTGTTAATTCCGAATACCAACATACTCACTAATGACTGTTTATAACACATACCAAACAAAACTCACCTACATGACTGTTATACACGACATACCAAGCATACTCACCTACATGACTGTTATACACGACATACCAAGTATACTCACCTACATGACTGTTATACACGACATACCCAACATACTCACCGACATGACTGTTATACTCGACATAACCAAACATACTCCCTACATGACTGTTATACACGACATACCAACTACTCACCGACATGACTGTTATACACGACATACCCAACATACTCACCTACATGACTGTTATACACGACATACCCAACATACTCACCGACATGACTGTTATACACGACATACCCAACATACTCACCTACATGACTGTTATACACGACATACCCAACATACTCACCTACATGACTGTTATACACGACATACCCAATACTCACCTACATGACTGTTATACACGACATACCAAGCATACTCACCTACATGACTGTTATACACGACATACCCAACATACTCACCTACATGACTGTTATACACGATATACCCAACATACTCACCTACATGACTGTTATACACGACATACCCAACATACTCACCTACATGACTGTTATACACGACATACCATGCATACTCACCGACATGACTGTTATACACGACATACCAATATACTCACCTACATGACTGCTATACACGACATACCCAACATACTCACCTACATGACTGTTATACACGACATACCAAGTATACTCACCTACATGACTGTTATACACGACATACCCAACATACTCACCGACATGACTGTTATACACGACATACCCAACATACTCACCTACATGACTGTTATACACGACATACCCAATATACTCACCGACATGACTGTTATACACGACATACCCAACATACTCACCTACATGACTGTTATACACGACATACCCAACATACTCACCGACATGACTGTTATACACGACATACCCAACATACTCACCTACATGACTGTTTTTACACGACATACCCAACATACTCACCTACATGACTGTTATACACGACATACCCAACATACTCACCTACATGACTGTTATACACGACATACCAAGCATACTCACCTACATGACTGTTATACACGACATACCCAACATACTCACCTACATGACTGTTATACACGATATACCCAACATACTCACCTACATGACTGTTATACACGAAAATACCCAACATACTCACCTACATGACTGTTATACACGACATACCATGCATACTCACCGACATGACTGTTATACACGACATACCCAATATACTCACCTACATGACTGCTATACACGACATACCCAACATACTCACCTACATGACTGTTATACACGACATACCCAACATACTCACCGACATGACTGTTATACACGACATACCCAACATACTCACCTACATGACTGTTATACACGACATACCCAACATACTCACCTACATGACTGTTATACACGACAAACCCAACATACTCACCTACATGACTGTTATACACGACATACCCAACATACTCACCTACATG